CCTCACAAGAGTGATTAAGGATCAGAGGATGGAGGAGTGACTTCCAAGCACCAGCTCAGGCATGGAGTATAATAAGTATATTCACTTTTCCGAAGTCAAACAGTCACTTTTTATTATAGATTGTGTTGTATTTCCTTGACCAAAACTTGCAAACAATTATTTCACATTCCCTTATTTATTGCTGTGAACTCTTAATGCTGAGCATGCTTTTCCTTTGAGGGGGAAGACTGCCTATTACGTGACTTCTCAGACTATGCTTTTGATGTTGGATAGTTTGTCAGTAGTCTACTTATCCCACTGGAGGAGACATTTTGTTTCAAAGAGGATTATTCATGGCCTAAGCCAAATACCCTAAACCTGCCAAGTAATAAAAGAGATGGTTAAGATTCTAAATCATCTTGCCTAAGTACTAACTAAAAGCCAGTGGGTTGGTGTTATTTTGGTGACCACACTGTTGAGTTCTTCTTGCAGAACGGTGTAATTGAAGGGGTGGGGTCTGGTTTGCATTTCATTTTAAATGGTTTTTACAGTCATTTAAAAGCTGGGGATCTGCTTCATGTTTAACATCTCTTTCCATAACAATTTAGATTCATCCTTTTTTCCCTTAAATCATTGGAAAACTTTAGTGTTCAGTGTTTTTCAGGTGGACAATGGAGGAAGACCCTTACTATCCCTTTTTATAATGTTGAAACTCCTCCAATACAACCTCCAATTGTTGATTTATTGTTTTTATAGTCAGTCTCAATTCCTCTTGTAGTGTAGATTAATTTTTTCCTGGTAAGTGATGAATAATACTTCATTAGTGAGCATACACATACACTCCCGCTCTGGTGAGTTGGAAGCTCCGCCGCTCAGTGGGGAGCGTTTCTGACCAAGCTCACCCCTACTTTGAACTTAGGATGAGAAAAGCTTCTTTACATGAGGGCACAGCTGTGTCTCCATCTCCCTCCCCCCATCTGCCCACCCGACTTCAACACAAAATACTGACTTCACCAAAAGCTCTGAGTTATGCTAATGGGGTCTTTAGCTTTTCCCAAAGCAGGGATATTTTCACATCTGCCTGAGTAAAGGCATTTCTGAGCTTTACTTAGTTTCCTGGTCTCCCTAACCTCAGAGTTGCCACCACACAAAGTGTTAATCTTCTCTTCCCCTGGGTGATATAAAGATAACCAATCGCTATTTATAAGAATGCGTTCAGTCCCAGGATAGTGACTAAGCTGCCTCTCAAATATGCTCAAATCATGGTCTACTTACTTCCAAATACAATATTCTGAGGCTTTGTGACCTGCCTGACTGCATGGCCAACATGGCCGCCATGGTGCAACAGGTTATAACGTGGAATTAATGTGCTTTCAGTATTAGTCAAATGTTAGACAAAGCCCACCAGGCATCCTGCCACTTCCTCCATTAGGAATATGTTTTAATAATTTGTGCCTTTATTTCTGAAAGAAGGGAAAATTCCTCCTCATAGTTGTATTTTGAAATAAGCCAAATACCCTTGACTAAATAAACAAATCTAGGTCATTCTCATTACAAGTTTTTTGTCTCTTTAAATCCCATTTGCTTCATTTTTAAACCTTGGTTTGGCTCATGTCTCAGTATCTTTTTTTCTCTCTGAAAATTTGTTAAAACCTCAAATTTTTTGGCTTTACATTCTGAGTATCTTACTGGGCACTCAGCTAAATGTCTCTTTTATGTCTGAGCTAGAGAATGATTCTGGAATTCACTTTCCAGCCTAAGTTAATATTTTATTCAAGTTTTGGAAAATTCTTTTGGCCTTCCCTTAACAAATAGATTGTTAACAGTTCTTGGCCAAAAAAAAAAAAAAAAAAAGGGAGTGTGTATACAAAATTTGCCCATGCTTTTAAAAGCAAGACCCTTATCTTTAAGATTTACAGTAAGATTAACTCAGTTGTTTCATATTCAAAAATGTCCCAGGTCAGGACTTTTATGAAGAGCTCACTGTCCAATTAGTCTTGAGAAGAGTGAGGATGCCCTGTATGAACTGACACAGTGGAAGAAGAACCTGCCTGTGAGGAGAAACTGGGTCTGCACACTACGTCACAGTGATGTCCAAAGACATCAATATAAAAAATCCCTCTCCTTTACTTTTTCTGATATATTTTATAATGACAATAATGGCAATCATCATTAATAATATTAGTTTGGATTAATAGGAAAACATTCAGCACCAGCAAGACTTGAACTGGAACTCCAACCCCACCCTTGTATGGCCTTAGACAAGTTACTTAAACTCAAGCCTCAAGGTTATCTGTATCACTAGGGACAACAATTTTATAATAATCATAGTGAATATTTAAAGTCCCAAAATTCTTTTTTCAATTTTAAATCCTTTTATAAAATTCTAGCTGAATTTCACCTACTCAAGAGTGTTTTAAGATAGAAAAGCAATCGCTTAATAGAAAAATCAAAATTTGTGAGTTAGACAAACTTCAAGACCATTGCTTTTAAGAAATCCTTTGTTTTTATGAACAACAGAAATTCTCTCTTCTGTTTTCAGAGACTTCTACTTATCTGAAAGACATGATGCCTAGGACTTTATCAAAGTCTTCAAGCTAGAAGAACCAGCTCCGAGGCAAGACCTTAGAAGCTCTGCAAGATTTGTATCAACAGGTTGAAAACTGGAAAAAAAAAAAAAAAAAACCCACACTCATGCCATCTCCTTAATTTAGAGATGAACTGTTTGAATCGGAGTTTATGGCTGATCCTCATTACTAAGAACTAAAACTGGTTTGGATGCTTTTTCTATTATACCGTGGAGAGTTATTTTGAGTCAACCAGAAAATCTGCAAGAACATCAAAATAGTGTTCTTTTTCTTTCTGACCTCAGTAATGACTGGTTAAGAATGTAGAATGCTTTGGAGAAAACCCTCAAAGCAGCTTGCAGGTCCTCAGTGTTCCAGAATAGATGGTTTAAATTCTCCAAATAAAAGGTCCCGATCACTTCTCTTCACAGTTAATACAAAAGCTTCCAGATCTCCTGTCATGCTGAGGCTACTGAGACCTCAAACGGGATGGTCTCCTTTGAAGCATCAGTACCAAGTGGGCCGAACCCCAGGGTGGATGGAGAAAACACCTGGACCCTGCTCTAATTCATCTTATCTTTTATGTGGAATGAGGCAAGCTGCAAATACCTGGCAACTTCAAGCTATTTTTAAGTCTTATTTCCTCACACATTCCATATTTAGTACAACAGCAGAACTTGACGTTGCTGGATCAAAGTAGATCCAGAGTCCGACTACTGGTCACCACTGCCGCCACCACTGTCTGTACCATCTCTTCTCTGGAAGACCAAAGAAACCTCTGCTATGGAAATGCTCTGGATGTGTCTCCCAAAGTCACAGGTGGAAAACTTGATTGTCAGTATGGGATGTCTGAGGTGGTGGCCCTTTAAGAGGTGAAGCCCAGTGGGAAGCAGTTAGCTCATTGTGGGGCATGCCTTCAGAAGTGAGTGTGAGACCCCCATCTCTCTGGCTTCCTGTTTTTAGATGGCTACTCTTTCTCTACTAGAGCCCAAAACAATGAGGCTATTCAATTTTGAGCCTTCAGCCTCCAACTAGAAGTAAACCTGGTTTCTTTATAAAGAAAGTATGTAAAGTTTATAGTTTGCTTGCTATTTTGTTATAGCACCGCAAAACTGATAGCTCCTAATGACTTTCCAGCTTTTAATTTCTTCTTTCCTTACATAAATAATCTCAGAATTTGCCAGCCAAGCTTCCACAATGAACCCGTCCCTTTCTTTGCAACCTTAATTTGTTCCTAAAAGTCCACTACATGGAAAGCCATTATGCGAAAAATCATTTATGTTAGCTTTTTTTGAGACAAGGTCTCATGTAACCCAGGCTAGCCTGGATCTCCATATGTGGCTGAGGATGGCCTTGAACTTCTCTGATCCTTGGCCTCTTCCTCCTGAGTATTTGCCACCACGCTGGGTTTTATGCAGTGCTGGGGTTGAACCCAGGGCTTCATGTATGTCATGCAAGCACTCTACTGACAGATACATTCCCAGCCCATTTTTGTCAGTTTTAATGGAAGCGTGCTATATTTCATTCCAATCTAAGATACTAAAATAATATTATAGCTAGAAAAATATTTCAACTGAACAATTACCGATTGTCATTATATTATATAAATAACATCAAATTAATGTTAAAATTGTTTTTGCACAAAATGTAATAAAATGGAGGCTTATGGTGCTCACCAAAAGAGGAAGAGAAGACTTGGTGGTGGTGTAGGTGGATGAAGGAGCGTTGAGGACAGTTGCTGTTTGTAAGGTATAGTGTCCTTTCTGAATTAGTGTTCATTTTGTTTTCTGATGTTTTCAACCATTGGAGAACTCTGCTTCAACTTGTACTCAGACTTCACGTAAAATCTGCAATACTTTGGGGCTAGAGAGATGGCTCATCGATTAAGAGCATTGGCTGCTCTTGCAGAGGATCCAGGTTCAGTTCGCAGTATCGACAGGGTGGCTAACAAGAGTCTATAACTCCAGTTCCAGGGAATCTAGTGCCCTCCTCTGGTCTCTGTGGGTACCAGGCACATAAGGGATACATTGACATACACACACCCAAGCAAAACATACATATAAAATAAAATCTTTAAAATAGTTTTCAATGCTAGCAGAGTGAGCCAGATTAAGTCAAAATAACAACTGAGAGTAAGAAGATTTGGAAAGATGTAAAATCAGTATACAGAGAATCAAAAGTCACAAAGGGTGTCACCTCTCTGTTATTGTCATTAAGCATAAACTACTTTTGGTTTACCCAAAAGTGGCCCTCAGTACAAATTTTTTTCTGACATTTGATGATTAAGAACTGATTACTAAAAGCTGATGGAAAAAATATGTTTTTTTAGGGGCTGGAGATATGGCTCAGCGGTTAAGAACACTGGTTGTTCTTGCAGAAGACCTGGGTTCAAATCTCAGCACCCACATGGCAGCTAATAACTGTCCATAACTCCAGTCCCAGGGGATCCGACAGCCTCTTCTGACCTCCATGGGCATTGCACAACATGGGTGCACTTACCCACATGCAGGCAATACACTCATACACATAAAATAAAAATAATAAAATAAAAAGTTAAAAATGTTTTTCTAAAAACTGCAGTGTCAGAATATCAATTAATGTGCTGATTTTCTTTATGTTTCAGAGTATTAGAAGGCTGGATCTATATATACATATACATAATTTATTTATATACATATACACACATAAATTATATATATGCATATATGTATATACATATGAATGGTAACTTTTCAAGAGTCTATGGAAAAGCCTTACTAATGCTGTAACTGTTCCGGTTGGTAGTCGTGTTCACTGGTCTTTTTACATGGGTCCCTAATTCATTGTGTTCCGGGCATTGTTGGCTACAAGGGAACAATGTCCGCCCAGCATATTTCACAATCAATTAATATGACATGTACTTTTAAAGTACTAATTGCATACCAGGTACCTTGGTAAAACAGATTAAGACAAAGAAGGAAAGGATTATCCTCACCCACAGGGGCCTTCAGAGAGACGGATAGGAGAGAGGAGGAGCTGGTAGAGCAAACAATAAACATATGAACCTGCTGTTGTGAGTGGTGTAATGAAGTGTTGGGGGGCAGAGAGGACGGAACCCCTCACTCCTGTGGGGGTGAGAGGAGGTGTCAAGTGATAACCCAGAGCAGATGTTTACAGTGAACCATAGAATCAGATGCCTTAAGATAGGAGACGAGGAGGTGGGGCTGTGGACCCGCCATACCACCCCAACATGAAGGACTCATCCTTCTGGAAGAGTAAGCCCAAATAAACTTTCTTCGACAATTTGCTATGGTCATAATGTTTTATCATAGCAACAAACAAGCAACTGACACATTTTGATTCACAGTTTTGGAAGGGTTCAGTCATCAACTGGGTAGGGAGTGTGCAGCCCAGCAAACTGCTTACCTCTGGGTTGAGAAAAGAGAGGTAAGGAAGGGGCTGAGGCCTTAACATCTCCCTCTGGGTCAGTAACCAGCAGCCCTCACGCTAGGCTCCACCTCCTAAAAGTTCCAGTCTTCTGCCGGCGCCGCAGGCCCAGGGTCAAGGATTCATCACTTTCCCCTCAAGCTGCAGTGTTGTGTATATTCTTACTTAAAATGCTTCCGAAAGAAGGCACGGTATAGTAACAACGAAAATCTGTTGCAGGTGATTTTTGTTTGGAGTTTGGTATGTATAAAGCACATAGGGCGGAGATAGAAGCTCACACGGGCAAACGGCAGTCACGGAAGGGCAGCAGCTTCATCTACACGGTTTTGGTTTCAGGTAAATCCTGTGATGTCAGCAGTAGCACTTGACTTTTATAAAGAAACAACAGGGATCAATCGGTTTTGGTTTTAATGTTCAGAAGCAGCATAATGGGTTTAGCTACATAATTTTAATCTTTCATTTACATCTTTTCATTTTTCATTTTTTTTAACATTGTGAGTATGAGGTTTTAGAGAATTGCTTGTGGGAGAAAACTAGAATGGAACTGTTTGGTGAAGGAACTATTTTATTTTTTATTTTTCATGTCATTGACTGACTTTTGGTAAAATGCAAAATGTAGTGAAACAAAAAGTAATAAAATTACATGAAAACTGATTTTACAGTTATAAAATTCCTTCCTCAAATTGCTGAAGAGTGTCTAAATGCCAATTTTCAATTTCTGCACTTACGTCAGATCAGCAGCAAACGGTTCCTGGCCCATCTCCCATCTACAGAAGACCTTTTGAGCAGCCCCACCCTAGACAAGTGGTTTGCATGGAGAGGGTATCATTTTTCCTGCCTGATCTCTGTCTAAAACACAGTTGATAGTAGACCCAATTCAATCACCTTCCCAGTTTTTTCCTCAATAGTACATACACCTACCCTTCGATGGTTTACGCAAGGACTGAATTGCTACCAGTCTTTCTGGACTTTGCCGATGTCTTACCAATTACTCAACCTCAGTTAGAACCAAGGACAGGAGGTGTTTCCTGAGGGGACTGAGCAACAGGCAGACGCACACCACCCTTCTAATTTACACCACCCCCCTAATTACAGGCAGATGGACATTACACTCCGAATTTAGAGGCAGCCTAGTCCTTCACTCTGCAGAAAGCTTGCCTGCCTTGAACAACAAAGAGAGAGTGGATCTATTTGAATTCTGTGTGTGTCGATATACACTGATGCCATTTGTGTTTGCCCAAAAAATACTCTAAAAGTACCATGTATCCATAGAAAATTGAGTGTAGATTAAGAACTTTTCTTTGTGTTGAGTAACTGGCTTCTCACTAGAGTTTTGTGGCAGACTACACGCTACATGGGTTCTTTCCAAGCTCTTTTTCCAAGAAAAAGAAAGGAATGCAGCTTCAGTTTCTACCAGAGGAATCTGCCGTGTTGGCAGCGTGAGATTGGCATCACATTTTCCAAAGTGCATTTCAAAGGATTACGACTTTTTTTTTCCCAATTTTCATCCTTGGAGAGATGACTTTTCAGAATAAGACATTTAGTGAGAAAATATGGCAGCTGTTAAAGCAAGCAGATTATCAACTTTGTTAAGGCTATTACCTTAAATGAAGTTGACAACCTTCTTGTATATTGTAAACAGCTGGAGGGATTTGGAAATGTACTGATGTGCGAGTGTCATCTCTACATTGGGAGCCGGTTGTTCTGGAAGGCACCTGGCTGTGGATATTACTTTTAAACATCACCTTGTGAGCCTGCTGTTCGTCATGATTAGAAACCAGTATCCCAAACTAAAGAAACAATCATGAAAAAGCCGATATAACTTAGATCAAACTGTACTTTCATTATGTCACACTGGACAGCACTGCTTCAGTTACCAAGGAAAGCAACACACATGCTTAAAATCGTACTGTTGTGTATAAGACCCCAACACCCCGAGACATAAATTACAGTTTATTGAGCACTATTATAGACTAAAGATGTAATCTCAGTTTGTTCTCACATTCTTAAAGCTAAGGTATTCATTTATTTTTAGAACTGTAGATACTAAAATGTAAGCTTATGAATGCAGTACTTACAGAAAAGTTAGAGTATTAAAAGGATCACATGTTGAGTGCTTTTGTTTGAAGCTTGATATCCACTTTTTTCAAATACTTAGTACTCTAACGTTAAGCCTGTGATGGTTTGAATGAGAATGTCACCCATAGACTACAAGTAGTTGAACACTTGGTCAAGTTGTAGTACTGCTTGGGGAAGTCATCGAACTTTTAGGAAGTGTGATCATGCTGGAGGAAGCACATCTCTTGGGGGTGGACTTTGAGAGTTCATAGCTACTTCCCGTTTCCAGTCTGGTCTCTGCTTCCTGTGCCTGCTTGAAGAGGCCCAGTGCCTGTCACTATGCCTCCTCTCCATGATGGACTCTTATCCCTCTGGAACCCAAAGCCCTATAAACCCTTCCTTCTATAAGTGGCTTTCGTCATGGTGTTTTGTCACTACAACATAAAAGTATCTAAAGTAACTAATACAATGCCTATCACCCCTGTCAGCTTTCTGTTCTTATGACAAAATATCTGAGGCAATCAAGTGAAAGAAAAAAAAGTTTTCTTTTGGCCAGTCGCCATCACTAGGGAAACAATTAGAAATAAGACAGAGCCAGGAACCAGCACACCGCCTGGAAGCAAAGCTCCGACAACACAGAACTCACGATTCCTCATGAATTTGAACTTGGATGCTGATGTCTGTCACACGTTACAATTAATGTGCTACTTTTAATTGACAATAGCATCCATTTGGGGTACAATGTGATGTCGCGATGTATTTATACAGCACAGAATGATAACCTCAATTTATCTCTGGACTCTGAACCAGGCAAACTGATGGGTGAGCATTCGAATGGTGGGTACTGGTGGCTGGTGGGTTGGGAAGAGAGTAGACGGCAGTTGAGGGGTACAAAGTTTCAGTGAGGCTTGGGGGACAGCTTTTAGTGATCTTATTCCATGCCGTGGTTAAGAGTAATGGCTAGTAAATTTCAAAATTTCTAGTACTGTGAACTTTTAAGTGTTCTCCCCACAAAGGTGACAAGCAGTAGATGACGGCCATGTCACAAACATGTTATGATGTAAATCCTCATAGATATTTGAAAATACTTTAAATTATTTGACCAGTGCATACAATTAACCTGTGGCAGAGAGATAGCAACCAGAAAAGCCCCAGCCATCTCCTACACATTCCAAGGCTAGAACAGAATCACGAGCTTGCACAGTGGATGGGGCCCACAAATTTATGGACAGCATATGAAACCACTTCCCTAAACCTGTGGAGATGTTGACACAGTCACATCATTATAACCCAGTTGCCATACAAAGAAAAGCTTCTATAATTTGTAAGTTTGAGCAAAGCATAGGATGTAAAGATTTCACTAAATTCTGATGTTCCAGCAGAATCCGGGCTGAGTTTCACAAGCAGTTATCATGTGATCCAGCAGGCGTTAAATCTCTGATGCCAAAATGGCTAGTCAGTTCCCTTAATAAATCAGCCTCACCCATTCAGATATGGACAGAAGGGTTAGCTTTCAGTTTGCAACCATGTGTGACTGATAGACACCAGGCAGATAAGAGGAATCACTCCAGAGAAAAATATAGGAAAGAAATCCACAAGGCTGGTGGTCTGTTTTCCAAAAATTTTGTATTTTTATTTTGAATTTTTAGATGATTGAAAGGAATTGTCCCAGAAATTTTCTCTACCAATTTTAACAGATTATAATACCAAAATTATTTCAGTATTATAAATACATGTACTTTTTATTTTGTATTTTTTGCTTCTGTTCCCATTATAAATAAATTCTTCTCCAAACTGGATTGTTTTCTATAGATTTTTAAAAATACCCTTCATTTTCAGGGCTTGCTCTTTGAACTATTATATGTTGTACCACAGACATTTAGTTTAAAAAAAACCCATTCCTTTGTTGGTGTTCTGTAGTAAGCTGCTGGGGTCATTATTCTACAGCATCCAGGCAATACTAGTGCCTTAATTTCTTTTCCTACCAATGAATGGGTTATTCACTTTCACCAAAAAGATTCCAACCTTTGGCAACCAGGAAACTAGGTATTTTAGGCTTACTGCAAAACAGACAGCAATCATATTTTAAGAAGTAGGGATGTGACACTCTGAGTCTAGAGGTCTCTAAATGTTTCTAATGAAAGATGCCTGACAGTATGGCAAATTAATTAGATGTCTGCTACCTACCATACAAACACACACACACACACACACACAAAGTGGACAGAAAAAGTGTTGAAACTAAATGCATTTTAACAGCATAGATTAGCTCAAAAGAAAGTAAAATAAAAACTAAGCCAGCAGAGGAAGGGTGCCCATTGGGGCAAAGCTATATTCCCCCTCCCCTTCCAGAAGAATGGGATCTGTTCTAGAACTTGGCTCCCAGAGTTCTAATGTTCTTGAAGACCCAGGAACATGTGGAAGAGCCGAGCCATGTACAGCCCTCCTGCTCCTGAAATGTGCTACAGAACAGGGTTAGCAGCAGTAAGCTCACTTTGTTAAGAAGGTTTTGGTGGGCCAGGTGTACAGGCGCATGACTTTAATCCCAGCACTCAGGAGGCAGAGGCAGGTAGATCTCCGAGTTTGAGACAGACATGTCAATTCATCAACCTCCTCAAATAACTTCTCCTCTTCCTCCTCCACCTCCTCTGTTTCCTTCTTCTTGTTCTTCTCCTCCTCTTCTTCCTCCTCCTTTACCTCTTTTTAAAAATGTTTTATCATTTTTTAATTTTATGTGTATGAGTGTATTGCCTGCATGTGTGGTGTGTGTGTGTGTGTGTGTGTGTGTGTGTGTGTGTGTGTGGTGCAATGCCTGCAGAGGTCAAAGTGGGCATGGAATTCCCCTGGGACTGGAGTTATGAATAGTTGTTAGCCACCATGTAGGTGCTGGGAATCGAACCTGGGTCCTCTGCAAGAGCAGCCAGTGCTCTTATGCTGAGCCCTCTCTCAGCCCCTCTCCTCCTCTCTGTTAGGGCATGATAGCTCTCATCTCTTTCCACAATTATTTTTTAGAGTAACTGACAAAGGTAAATGAACAACACACCAAAACAGTAAAACCTTCCAGTTATGCCTTCGAAGCTTGGTTAAATCAGAAACCGCATTCCATTGCACCCTGGCATGTTTCCCGGCAGACTTCATTGTTTCTCCCTCAAAACACACTTGAACTTGAAGGAACCATTGGAATTGCAAAGACTTCTAATACAGAGAAACCGCACTCTGAGAAAGGCTGGAGATGGATATTTAAATTGGATTGGTACTGGAATCACCTTAAATACAGTCCCAACACTATACTTGGTTTATAAAAAGTGGCCAGTAGGCCGTGACTGTGTCACTCATGGAGCTCTGAATTATTTATTTGATCAACATTACACTATATAGGCAAAACCATCTGTAAAACTATACCTTCAGTCATCAAGCATGTGTAAATAGTAAGAAGATTATTTGTTCTTTTACACATCTTTCTGTGAGCTACAAAGATCAGGACATGATGACATCATTACATGCTTAGCAAATTGGGTAAGGGGTACATTCTCTGGAGGTGGATCCTGAAACCATTTCTAGGCTAGTCTGGAAGTGGATGTAAACATGGAAGGTTCATATCGTTTCTCCCTATACCTGACCCCTGGCCTCACCAGGATTTATCATGAGGTCAGTGATGGAAATGTTTATCCCCAAATGTACCACAAATGTTAAATAAATCCATCCATCGGAACAATTGAAATAGGGCAACATACTTTACAGGGTTTAACTCTAGAGTAATTTGCAGGCACAGGAAAGTTAAAGTGCTGATAGTCAGCTAGTAGTATACACTAGAACCATGATTCCTAATTCAGTCATGGAGGAAATACTTTCCTGATTTTTTCATATCTAAATAATTCAGGAACTCCCATTTGTTTGAAAGTGTTTTAAACCTACACAGTGATTTTTTAAAAACACCCTGACATTGAGAAGAAACTTAATGTTCCTGTCATATACAACAGCAGCATAAGCTCTGTCCTTTGTGTGATGATCCACATTGTATTAGTTACTTTTCTGTTGCTGTGTTCTGTTCCCTGTGACCAAGGGAACTTATAAAAGGAAGTTTATTTGAACTTATGGTTCCAGAAAAATCAGAGTCCATCATGGCAGGAGGCGTGGTGGCAAGAGGTGGCCAGAGCAGAAGGAGGAGCTCTCACATCTTCAAGCAGGCACAGGAAGCAACTGGAAATCCAGCAAAGCTTACCGACTCTCTATGCCTGCCCCCAGTGATGTGCTTCCTCCTGCAAGGCCACACCTTCAAAGTCCTCCCAAAACAGCACTGTCAAATGGGAACAAAATGCCCAAATATTTGGATCCTATGGGGGGACATTCTCATTCAAACCACCACACAAGTATATCTGGTAATTTGGTCCCAGCTGCATGCTAGGTACTTGTTCACTCCCAGAGGCTGCCTCCTAGAATCCTTCTGTGTTGGTTTATAGGAAGGATTGCACTTACCCCTTGGATAACACCCCTGTGGGCTGGTTGCCAGTCTGTGGTGCAATTTGGGAGGCAACCATATCTTTGGGATTCGGCCCAGAGAGAGTTAAGTCATTGGGGATATGCTCTTGAAGATGATACTAGGACCCCACCTTCCCCCCCTTTTCGTGCTTTTAAGGTGCCAGGAAAAGAACTGGATTCTTCTACTGAGCCCTCCCCCCAATTATGTACTGTCCTGCCAAAGCCCACGGAAGGGTCTGGTGGCCATGGGCTAAAGGTTTAGAAAGTATAAGCCCAAGTAAATGTTTCCTTTTTAAAAGCTGCTGTATCTTGTGTATTTTTATAGCTACAGATAGCTGCCTAACGCGGCTAGACAGTAAGTTGAACTGCACTTGGAGCACCAGAGGATACAAAGTTTGTTACACCTATAGTCATCTCACATATTATCTCCCCAGTGGATCCTGGAAGGGGACATGAGAGCTCTAGTTAGAGGTAAGAGACTTGAGGCCACCAAGATGGCTCAGTGGGTAAAGGATATTGCCACCAAGTCTTATGACATGAGTTTGATCCCTGGGACCCACATGGTGGAAAGAGCAAACCGGCTTTCTCAGCTGTCCTGTGACTTCTACGTGCACACCACAGACATACAAATAAAAGAATACACCTATTGAATTTTTTTTTAAGTTCAGAGACTTCTGGTTCTAGTCTGTTTCCTTAATAACTAGTTTTGTCTCCTGGGAAGTCGACTATTTGGGTCTTGGTACTTCTCATTTGTAAAATGGAAACAAAATTTGACCTACCTCTTCAGTGCATCATTTTTATTAAAACTGGTTTATTTATTCTTATTGTTTATGTGTGTGTTTGCCTGCATTTATGCAATGCCCTCAGAGATGAGAAGAGGGTGTCAGATCCTCCGGAACTGGAGTTATATCCTTGTTAGGCACCATGTGGGTGCTGGGAACCAAACCCGGGTCCTCTGCAAGAGCAGCCAGCGCTCTTAACGGCTGAACCATCTCTCCAGCTCCAGAGCGTTGCTTTTAGGTTTGGATGCGGCTTCTGGTAAAGGTGCTGTGAAAGCTCAACACAGCAGAAGTGGAAATGATGCCGGCCGTGTGACTTGGGAGGTAAGAACTACCTGGCCAGGTGAATCAGGTGAAGGGCGCAGCCAAAGTTGGTGGGAAACTGGAGGGGTGAAGAAGGATGCTTCCCCCGCTGTCGCCCGCGCGTTTCCTTTGCGAAAGAAGTAAAATGGGAACCAGCGTCAGTCAGGCCCGTGTGGAAATAGACGAAACCGTGTGCACGTCAGTTTTCACGGCAGAACTCCGGAGTCACAGCCAAGCAGCCGCCCTGCGCCCTGTGCTGGGCTGCGTCAGCCGATGTAACCAACCTCCCGCCCGGCCCCTCACCGATGGTGGCCCCTGGCTTCTGTTTCATCCTGGCCTCTTCAGGGTGGTTTCGCTATTTCTATTCTTTTCATTGTCTGCCATTAATCCACACTTGGTGTCCTACACTTTACCCCGTGTTTTCCAACCAGCTATTTCTCAAAGACGTTATTTTTAAAAATTATTATCAACTGTCAATATGCTTATATAGACATATTTTATTTAGTGATGATACAAACAATAACACATAAACAATAAAAATAACAATTATTGAGAACTTACTGTGTGTTAAGCACTTTTCTATACAGTTTACAGACATGAATTCAATTTAACCCTCCTAAGCTATCTTGATCTAGGTATTACTATTTTAGCCACTTAACACATGAGAAAATGAAATCCCACGGACTGAAAATACACTGCCCCAAATTTTGTAGCTGATAAGTACTAGAGGCACAATTCAAACCCAACATTTTGCTTCAAATGTATGCTCTTAGCATTACAACAGAATGCTCCAAAAACATTTGAGAACTGACCCTGTTATATATCACAAGCACTTACTATGTATTCCCTCCAAACAAGCAGAGGACATAATACCATGAAAAGGCTAGATGTCAGTAACAAGACCATAGGTAATAAAACAAAAAACTATAGTAAGAAGCAGGAATGTGACAGAGCAACCCATTTATGTTGTTCCTGCCTTTGGACTCTAAGTGGAGGCCGTGAGTTCTTTTGAAAATAAACAATGGAATAGACAATTTCCTTTCATCTAAATTAATGAGTTTAGCCATGTTTTTAATGACTATTGAAAATAGAAAGTATGACACATTGTATTTACATTTTTTTAATTACTAGCTTGCAAAGGAAAAGTGTTGAACAGGTAATTCAAAGTTTCATAGAATTGAAATTGATTCTGGAAAGCAATTTCATACACCTATGATTAACTATTCCAGTTTTGTGTGTGTGTGTGTGTGTGTGTGTGTGTGTGTGTGTGTGTACAGTGCATTCTTCTGCTCCAGGGAGAGGATACCTGCCATTTGCCTACTACAATCTCTGTTCAATGGCAATAAATGGTGACAGAATTTACAAGGGTCAAGTACATATACAACAATGCTATACATTCTAATAGTGGGCCAGCAAGATGGCGCAGCAGGTAGAAATGCTTGCCCTGATGTGTGTGTGTGTGCGTGAACAGTGCATTCTTCTGCTCCAGGGAGAGGATACCTGCCATTTGCCTACTACAATCTCTGTTCAATGGCAATAAATTGTGACAGAATTTACAAGGGTCAAGTACATATACAACAATGCATTCTAATAGTGGGCCAGCAAGATGGCGCAGCAGGTAGAAATGCTTGCCCTGATCTCAGTGTGTGCACCCTGGCCTGTGTGTGTGCACACTCATACACACATCATACATATGCAACCATAAAAGTGCTAATAATTATAGTATAATGTTCGGAGCTATTAATCCATTATGTACATAAGCTGTGGCAGGCTTGTTTACTGAGTTTGTGTTTTGCACACCAGTACCTAATCTGCCAAATCAGGAGGAATGTGTTTATATGGTGGAGCTCACAAAACAAGTATTTGACCGCTCCTTGACCCTCAGATACAGGTGGGAAAAACAGCTGTTGAAACTAATTGAGTTCTTCTGTATTAAAAGGCGGGGCTGAAATAAAGCGGGGCTGCAGTCTCCAGTGACAGCCCTTCCAAGTATCTTTTCTGTCTCTTGTTTTGTTTTTCAATCCTCACTCCCCCTTTCAGGTACTGTCCGTCTTGGCCAGCTGGCACCGGCAGTATAAAAATCCTAATAATAATGGATTTTATGACCTCTCACTTGCAAATTGGACAGATAACCTCCTAGAATCATATTTTTTTTTAATGGCAAAATCATCTAAGCAGACTTCAGCAAAGGTGTTAAAAGCTATGTTAAGAGACAGAAAAGATGAGAGCAATCATCTGTCTTTAGAATGTAACAATCAATCATGATGTAAATTAGATTCTTTAGAGCAAGAATATAGTATCACTCAACTTTACATAGCAGCTTAGAAGCAAAGTACTCTCTAAGTCAGAGTTGTGGCAGTATATACCACCCTGTCTTCCTCCTCATTGACAGATGTGTGGGGGCAGCCTGACTGGTCAGGAGGGGTTCATTTCCCAGCTTCCTTCCTTGAAGAGACTTCACAGAAGGAACCAATGAATACTAGTTTTTCTTTCTTTGTCTTCCTTCACTTACTGTTTCGCCTCAGGAAGCCTTCCACACTCCCACAAAAGTGTAGTCACACCAAAGCCTAATAATTCTGGGCATGACTGGGAAGCAGGATTGCTCTAAGAAACTCTTCCAGAAAGCATTTCTCACAAATAAGGAAAGCCATTCCCACCACAGTGAGTTTGTATAATTTTGTCTTATATTTCTAGAAATTTAATATAAATATAAGAATATTTCTGAAGTCTAGAGTTTCCTGAACTGTGTGACTCAGACAAACACAGATTTGTCTAGTTGAAATGTGAAGACATGATGACTTTCAGAGAATTCAGTGCTGTTTAAATGTACTTACCAAGGATTAGACTATAGATAGGGTAGAAAACAGATGCCAAGGAGAGAATGGTTGTGGTTTGCTGAACGCTGTGGAAAACATGGGTATTTATGCTGTGTGTGTCTGTACCTGCTGGTAGTGGTGTGATCTGCAATGACCCGAGCTGAATTACTAACTGCTATAAGTAAGCGTAAGAAGTCACTTTAAGGTATTATCTTGCGATATGTTTCCATTTTGATCAACAAGAACAAATAGTGACTAAAATTACTTCCTCTACCACAATACCTTTCATCTTAACAAATTTGATGTATTACCGTTTGAAAACTATAATCAGACTAAATGGAGGACATATCAACGTAGGATTGGACTCCAGGACAGAGACACCTATATTTCCAGGACTGGAATATAATATTACCTACTTTTAAATTGATTGTATTACTGGGTATATATTATATATCTGACAGTGAGCACGGTAGCAATTTAATAAAACTATTACTCCAGCCAAACTTCCCGTGGGATTCTATGCGAACATCTTCTTTAATGCCACTTTTGCCTCTTTTTAAGAGATTAAAGATACTGCAGTAAGCAACCCGGTGTCCTGGCGTGGAGGGGCCTGCTCTCAGCATTTCAGGCTTTCATAGACTTGATGCTTTATTCAGGCGTTTTTACTGTAAAATGAAGCTTCCAAATTTAAAAAATATTTCATTGAATTTCAAGATGTAAAATTTCAATTTCCATCATCATTTCACCCGGGTTTCTGCTTACAACTCCAGTTTTTAATCAATAATATTTGCAGAACGTGGAAATTCCAGAAAAAGAAGAATCAAGGAATTGGGTAGAAATTAAAACTAGGCCCTTCAGGATGAGGAGAACACTAATTAATGCGTCTCTCAGTTCTCGTCAGTGAAGCTCCCTCATGCAGCAGAGGGCCAGGCCAAAAGCCCACAAAGCCAAAATGGAGAGAATAAGAGTCTGCAGAGTGTGGGTCCTTGAACAGAACTCCTATATTGAGATCCCCCCACACAGGGCTCAGGGACCATTGCAGAAGAGAGGGTAGAAAGATTGTAAGAGCCGGGGAGGAGGTACATGACCATACAGGAATGGTCCTACAGGCTCTTGGGACCCTCCTCGTACAAACATACAACAGTGGTGTCCGCATGCACAGATCCACATGAACTTAGGCAGACAAAAACCCAGCACAGAACTGTGGAAATGGACAGCAGGCCCCAATCTTAGTGAAGAATTATTGGCAGCTGATTACTGCTGGGTGAGGAAGAGCTGATCTTGAAAGAGAGACTCTAGATAGGCTGACTAAACCCTGGTGGATGAACTTGCACTGAGGGACATCTTGGGACACTAACTTTACATAATAGGCCTTAATAACAATGACAGAATGTATGAACTCCAGTGTGGGGGGGAGCTATGGGAGGTGCCGAAGGGGAAAGGGGTATAAAGATGATTTTATGTATGAATAACACAAAAATTCAATAAAGCATTATAAAAATAAATAAAATATTTAAAAAACTAGGTCCTTCACTCCAAAAGACTGTTTAAGACTATACCAGAAATTAGGTGGCTATAAATATTTTCATCCTGCTTTTTAGGAAATTCCTATTTGTGTTTAGGATTCTGACCTCTTTTTCTAATTGTATGTGATGGTTCATCTTCACTGTCAACTGTATTTGTTACCACCTAGGAGACACTCTTCTGGGCATGTCTGAGGGAAAGGTTGAATGTGAGCTGTACCACTGCACAGGTGGGAGTGTCTGAATGAATGAAGAAGAAAAGTGAGGTGAGCATCAGCATTCATTGCTCTCCGCTCCCCACATAAGGATGACATGTGACCAGCCACTGACTCGTGTCCTGCTGCCTTCCTCCTCCACCATGATGGATGCACTCAAATGGGGCATCAGGTTGCTTTCGCCACAGTGACAAGAAAAGTAACTAATACAGTACATTTTGTAGATTGTTGTTTGCTTGGTTGGTTTTTTTTGAGACAGGGTCTCAGCGTGGAGCCTGGAACTCAGTATGTAGACGAAGCTGGCCTAGAACTCACAGGAATCATCCTGCCTCCACCTCCGAAGTGCTGGGCTTAAACGTGAGTGCTACCATGCCTGACTCATTTACAGATCTTAAGTAGCTCAAAGTTAAACTTTCTTCCAAAACTTAGAGTATTCTGTTAGACTTCCTACATAACTGATGCACCCCTATTAATGAGAGACTCATTTGAGAGACTCTTTGAGACAGCTCCAACATTTTATAAAAACAAGAGCTTGAAAGTAAAGGTAATAAAGACAAATGATGTAGTTAGATGTGTGGAGATGCCAAGACCACTGCAATCCTGGTTGGACGTTTAGAGCATGTCTTTCAAAGATGTTTCAATTGATTGAAAGGGTGAATGGAAGCAACACAGCACAGTGGGCTTACATTTAGGTAAGGACACATTTGGGCATGAAAACCTAAGAATGGTAGATGTGTTTCAATTCATATTCCATGATGCAGTTTACAAATATGAACATTTCCAGGGCTGGAGAGATGGCTCAGCAGTTAAGAACACTGATGGTTCTTGCAGAAGTCCTGGATTCGAATCCCAGCATCCACATGGCAGCTAACACCTATCCATAACTCCAGTTCCAGGGGATCCAACAGCCTCTTCTGTCCTCTGTGGGCATTTCATGACATGGGCACACTTACCTACATGTAGGCAGTACACATATACACATAAAAATAAAAATAATACAATATTTAAAAAATACAAATATGAACACTTCCTTTACATAAGCAACAGGTACAGTTTTTTCTTGGCCCTACCTTCTCTTCTAGTTTGCCTTCTGTTACTGTGATAAGCACCACAACCACAAGAAACTTGGGAAGGAAAGGATTTATTGCATCTTACAACTCACTGAGGGAAGAAGCCAGGGCAGGAACTCAAGGAGGAGCCTGGAGGCAGGAACTGAAGCAGAGACCGTGGAGGAAGGCTGCTTACTGGCTTCTCCGTTTCCTTTCTCATACAGCCCAGGCCCGTCTGCCCAGGGATGGCACCACCCACAGCGGTTGGGCCCTTCTACATCAAGAAAATGCACCATGGACATTCCCACGGGCCCATCTGCTGGAGGAAATTCCTCAGCTGAGATTCTCTGTTCCCAGGAGTGTCAAGGTGACAACTGCTGCTAACGAATGCCTTCTTTACTTTCCCTCTCGTTTCCCTTTATTTCCTACTTTCTTTCCTTCTATGTCAGATTGCAGTCACAGCTCCAAAGACTTCAGTTCATGCTCAGTTGGCCTCCTTGGTTTTGAGCCTATGGTGAGGCTGAATATCATGGTGGGGAACATGTGGCTGGGGAAATATGTTCCCCTCATGCAGCCAGGAAAGGGGTGGGAGGAGGAGGAAAAGGAGGAGGAAGAGAAAGGGAAATGTGCATATTTGGAATGTACAATTTGATGAGCTTTGGTAATGAAAACTATGAAGCCATTACCACAAAGTAACAAACACATACCACAGCCCAAATAGTTTTCTTGTGTCCTTTAGCAATTGCTTCCCTCTTTTTACCCCTCCACCCACCACACTCCCAGGCCAACCAATGATACCTTTGTTTCTATGGACATAATGCTTCTAGCTGCTTGGGACCTTTCTATTTGTCAAAGATGTCATTTGATTATAATAATATAATCTCTTCGTATTACTTGGGTTGAAGTTTGTTGTAATTTTTGGAGCTGTAGATTTGCTCATTTTATTCATTTGGATTAGCCATTTATTTTATATTGATATACAAAGTAATTGATTTCGTTATGATACTTTCATAGCTACACGTCATTTTACTTTGTCCTTATGTATCTGCCTTCCTGACGGCCTTTGCTATCTCCCCTACCTATCTATTGCTGATCTCCAGCTCCCACAAAATAGTCCCTCCTTCTAGTTTCATAGTGTGTGGAGTCTATATTGCTCTTTATTCCCCTTTCTCCCTTTCAAGGCTTTTCCTTCCCTCTCATGGTCCCCTTTCTATTTTTTTAAAATTATTTTTATTTTTAATTATGCATATGCATGTGTGTCTATGTGTAGGTATATGCACATGAATGCAGGTATCCTTGGGATCTTGAAGAAGGCATTGGATCGCCTGGAGCTGGAGTTATAGGAAGTTGTGAGCCTTCCAACATGGGTGCTGGGAACCAAGCTGTGTCCTCTTAACCAGTGCAAGAGCAGAATGTGTTCTTAACTGTGAGCCATCTCTCTAGACCCATCCCCTTTCTACTTTTCTCCCTCTCTCTCTCCCTCTCTCTCATGTACACACAAGTACACACATACACACACAATTATAATTTAGATCTACAGTCTTCATGTGAGAGAAAATATGTGTCCTTGAATCTGACTTATTTCACTCAATGTGATCTCAGTTGCATCCATTTTCCTGGAAATACCATGATTTATTTTTCTGTACAGCTGAATAAAATTCCATGTGTATATGCTGTAATACCTTCAGAAAAATGTCATGCAGTTTTGGGTAGAATCAAGAGTCGTTTATTAGCCAGCAGTTGAGAGAAGGTTAAATAGCTCAAAGAACTCTCAACCTCATAGGGGAGGAAGAGTGGGGTTTATAAAGCTTAAAACCATAATTACATCATGCCAGAGGCAGAGTCAATAACCGTTGTTACATTAGATCAACATAGCTACACCAAACCAGGGGTAGGTCAGTCAACAAAGAGGTTTTCAGTTAACACAGAGTTTTGGTTAGGAAAAGCAAGTTTCTCAGTATTGCAGAAACAATGAGCCTCATGGAGCTGTAGGTATAGTTGGGTAAGACGTGCTACTGGGCTAGTTGGAAGTTTCCCAGTATTGTAGAAACAATAAGACCATAGGTGCAGCCTTCATGGGACCCGTTCTGCCTGGCAGACTACAGTTAGAGTAGGGGCAGTGGCTAGGCAGAAACACAGTGAAGCAGAAGTCAGAATAAAATGGAGTCAGCTTTGCCATTTCAATACCACATAATCTTTAACCATTCATCTGTTGATGGACATCTAGGCTGGTTCTACTTCTTAGCTGCTGTAAATAGTGAAGCAATGAATGTGGTTGTGCAAGTATCTCTGTATTATGTTGACTTAGAGTGCTCCGCACACATACCCAAGAGTAGCCGGGTCATATGGTGGTTCTATTTTTAGTGTTGGGGGAGCCTCCACACTGATTTCCACAGTGAGTGCAGTAGTCTATATTTTCTTCATAAGAGTTCATCTTTTACCTTCACTCTCCCCAGGATTTGTTGTTTTTTTTTTCTTGATGAGAACCATTCTGAATGGCAAGACGAATCTTAAGACATTGTCAATTTGCATTTCCCTGATTGATGAAGGATGCGGGCCATTTTTGTTTCTTCTTTGGAAGGCTATCTATTTAGTTCATTAGTCCATTTATTCACTGGGTGGACTTTTTGGCGTTTAATTTTTGTAGTTATTTATATCCTCTGCATATTGAGCTCCTGTCTCATCTATAGTTGATCAATCCCTTTTCCCATTCTGTGGGGTGTATCTTCATTCTACTGGTGGTTTCCTTTGCTGTGCAGATGCTCTTTAATGTGATCACATTTTTGTTCATCCTTTGATTACTTTCTGTGCCACTGTTGACGTTCTTCAGAAGGTCCTTGCCTCAATCTTGAAGTGTTTTGTTTATGTTCTCCCCTGAAGTTTCAAAGTTTCAGGTCTTCTAGTAAGGTTTTTAATAAGCTAATGTTTTCTGTTATCCCTAAACAAATAGCACACAGATATATCATTTGTTTTAGCATTATTTTATTATCATCTAGATAATCATTTCTGGATTTGTTCCTATTGATTAAATTTCTCTTCATTATATACCATATTTTTCTATCTTTGCCTACTGGGTAATTTTTAATGAAATGGTAGTGTGGATTCTAACTTGTTACATCTGGATATGCTTGTATTTTCATATTCACTGTTGGAATTTAGTATGGGACTCAGTTATTGACTTGGGAAATGAGCTCAACCCTTTTGAGGAGTTCCTATTATGCACTGCGTCATAAGTATCTATTCAAGTCATATGTCTATTTTGTATTAGATTGTTTAGCTCTGCATTGATGACGTAAGCATAGTCACACATGCATATATATGCACACACATGTGTGTATATATGTTGAAGATCTCTTTTCCCGGCATGTAGCATGTTTTTTACTCACTCCCAAATCTCTGTTCCTAAAAGCAACATAATAAACATTTCTCTCCTAGAACATGTTTTTCTGTGTTGCAATAGGAAGATAAATGGCTGTTTAAGAAGACGAAGGTCTAATGTTGAACTTTCCATTCCTAGTTCCTGGGTAAAGAAGTTCACATCTGCCCTTCCTGGAATTTCTTCAATCATAGCACAACCATGTCATCCATCCAGCTTGCTGCTGAGATTGATGGATTCTGAGTGTGGAAAAGTAGAGATGAGTGTTCCCTGCATGACATGTGTTTACCTAGAGTGGGCCACATAAGGTAGTACAGAAAGAAAAAAATCCCCAGAGATCACTCACCAAAACCATCATAAAATAAATTTGCCAGTGTTCCTGGTTATTAAAAACGTAGATTTGAAGAATGTTTATTCAGACATGAAAACACCTAGAGGAATACTTTCCTAGAAATATGAATCATCCATTACTTTGACTTTTCATTTAAGAAAGGAAATGAATATTTCTGTCTAAATGCATCCAATGGGAGCATATTATATTGGCTATTTGTATTTCAAAGGGGAAAGAATTAATTAAATGTCTTCAATTTAATCATCCCATATTAGATAGCTTCCATGTCTCTGCCTAAATTATTTACAAATATTCACTGTATCTACATTGTAATCATTGGAGATTCAACCCTTTATTTTACCTAACCTACATCCTAGATAACATTAATTTGTTTACCCACCCAGAATTGTTGGCCAATGCCATGAGCTGAGCAGTAGGATACAGAACGTGCTACACTAGGTAGTTTCTCACCCAAAGGAACTTATCATGTGAGTAAATAAGCAACTTTATTCACTATCCTGAACACTAGTAACGCCTTTCCACAGTGGGCGCTGGTGGTCTACCCTGTCCTAGTCTGCTGTAGCCTGAAGGATGAGATGAAATTTTAAAATGCTGCATATTAACATATAATAAAGTCTGTGAAGTCACTCTGTGGCATTATTGTCTTTTCCAAATGAACACTTCCAAGCATTAAGTGTAATTGTGTTTAATCTGAATGTAAAATTTGGAAGAAGCAGGGAAAAATAAATCTGTAGAGAATACACCAGATCCTTACAAAAGACTGTATAAACGAAGGAGTGTTTTACCAGTAATCATCACCATCATCAGCATCACCATCATCACCATCATCATCAGCATCATCACTCAAACAGTCATTATTTATGCATCACTTCTGTCCTGGTGACCTATGTATGTTGAAACTTAGTACCCATAATGACTCTGTTGAAGGTCTTGCTGCTAGTGACTGGTATAGCAAGGACTCGATCAAAAACTATTATCTCCCTAAAGGCATGCTTTTGCTACTCTGCTAGGGTCTCTAGAGACTTTTGTGGATAGTACATACCAACCCAGTAAAGTGGAAATCAAGCTGCTCTCTGAAGGTGGAACTTAAGCACAGAGGCCCTCAAGGGACATGCCCAAGGTTCTGGCAGACAGACAGAGGTCACAAGGGATATGTTCAAGTCTGACAGACAGGATGGCTGCTACCTAGAAACTAAATGGATGTTAAAATGCTAGATAATTTAAAGACTATGAAAGTTGTTATTCAGAAAGCTCAAGTCTGAGGACCTAGGAAGAATACTCAGAGGTTAAAGTGGTGGGGAGTGGTGAGCAGCCTGGAGGTGTTGCTTGGTGCCTTCCATTCATTACGTTAGCTGAGCAACATGAAACCAAACTTGAACATATCATCGCTCTTGGTAGGTTGAAGATAGCTGAGATTTGTCACCCCAAATATGCAAATTTAACATAAAATTATTTTGAGTTGAAGACAATTGAGAAACAACATATTCAGAAAAACTCTCTACTGTTTCCTTGTGTATCTAAAAGCAGGACATAAATTTCCTTTGAGAGAGAGGGCTTCAAACCATCAAGAAGAGAACAACTTCAGCACTGGGATGGGGAGTCACAAGAACAAGACCTTACCCCCAGCTTTCTTTATATATTTCCTAGTCACTTCCCACAAATTTACCATTATTTGTAAACTTTTTATTGAATTTTTGTGTATTTCATACAGAGCATCTTAATCATCTTTATACCCCCTTCCCCACTGGCACCCTCCCATAGCCTCTGCCCCCCACTGGAATTCATGCATTCTGTCATTTTTGTTAAGGTCCATCGTGTCAAGTTAGTGTCCCCAGATGTCCCTCAGTGCAAGTTCATCAACTGAGGTCTAGTCATCTTATCTAGAGTCCCTCCCTTTAAGAAGATCAGCTCTTTTTCACCCAGCAGTAACCAGGTGCCAATAATTCTTCCATTAAGGTTGGGGCTGCTGCCCATTTCCACAGTTCTCTGCTGGGGTTTTGTCTGCTTGACTTTGCATGGGTCTTGTGGATGCTGTCATCAATACTGTAGGTTTGTATGAGAAGGGCTTCCATGTGGTTGTGCACCTCCTCCCTGGCTCTTAACAATTTTCCACCCCTTCTTCCACATGGTCCCTGAGCCTGCCCAAGGACCCACACTCTGCAGCCTCTTATTCTCTATGCTTTGGTCATTTGTGACCTTTTGTGTTCCTGGCCCTCTGTTACATGAGGGAGCTTCATTGATGAGAATTGAGAGATGAGTCAGTGTTCTCTTTGTCTCTTGTTCTATGTTCCATGAGCCACAGTCTAGAGGTTGCATTGAAGATGTGCCACTTATGCCTGGACAATTCACAGACAATGTCCATGTGCGGACCAGTTGTAGAACTCTGTAATAATCTGTCTGTTGAAAAAGAAGCTTCTTTGATGGGTGGTGACTGGGATACTTGTCTGTAAATATAAGGATCCATATTTTGCACATAGTAAGAAATCACATTAGTCTAGGGAGGTGACAGCCTTGGGGTTTTCTCTAAGATCCATGACCTAAAGCCCTTTCTGTTGGTCTAATCATGTCACAATGCAATGCTCTTTGTTAAAAAGGTATGTATGGCCCAGAGTCTTCCCGTCCCTTTGAGCTTCCCTCCTCATGTGAAGCTCCATGTGCTTATAAAAATATTAATATCAATAAAAATTGTATCCTTTTCCCTGTTAATGTCTTCTGTCAGTTTCTCTCATAGACATTCTAGATCCTAGACTTTTCTCACATGATAGGTAACACCTATAATGAAGAAAACATCTCACTGGATGGTAAAGAATCTGTCTTACTGTGGACGTGGAATATCTCTGTGAGTAAAAAGAGTCTACAGAAAATCTTAGGGATTTGACTTTCTGATCAGCATAATAAAAGCATAATGTTAGAGAAGAACTGCAAATAGCTCTCAATTCTTGACTAGAGGGCTTTGTCAAAGAAGATAGAGAACTATAGGCACCATGATCAATTCTAATGTCTGTACCAGACACTGGAGTCATTCCAATACATGTGCAAAACATGTGTCACCAATGAAATCATAGTTGGATAGAAGTTCTACATTTAGTGAATCAGTTCATAGCCTGGAATGGGATTATTGATATAGGCTATAAAATCCAGCATATTCTAAATTCCACCAGGGGAGAAAGTGTTCAAATGCCTGAAGAAGATATATGTATAGGGGAAACAAAACCCCAGACTCCTGAAACAGCATAGGCTATTGCCAAAGCCTTGATTGCTTCCCATAATTTGAAGGTAAAACCCTACTGCTGAACATAGACCTTACTTCAGACATAGGCCTTAGAGCAATCAAGCTGGAGCAGACCTGGAAGCTTCCTCCCTAAGCTAGCTCTTGAGATATCAGAGAATACTATGCAAGCTGCCAAGGGAGAAAACCAATCAATGGTCTTACCCAACTGTAAGGTCTAAAACACAACAATGACAGGTCCACCAAACTATTGCTATTGGTACAGTAGTGGTACTTTTACCTGTGGGGTAATCAACAGCTTTCTAATTAGAATTAAGGCCTGCTCAATGGGAGGGAACTTATATATGGTACTCTAAACATAGCCAAATACACATAGCCGGAGAGGTCATAGATCCTAGAGAAAAACTTTCTTTTGCACATCCCTAAACCAACATAATTTCTAACCATATTCTAAATATGCATTCTTATGTTACAAACAAGTGTACCTCTCACCATTCATTAAAGAAGTTCCTTTTTGCAACAAAGGGAGACTAACACAGAGTTCCACAACCAGTCAAATGCAGAGAGTAATTGTCTGTGAGATGCTTAGCTCTAAGTGACACATTTTCGATGCTACCTCTACACATAACATGAACACATCTTTCAATGCGCACCAGAGAGTTTTCCTCATGTGCTTGATGGTAATTAACCCACAACTGGCCAATTTGCAGATAAGAAGATGGCATAGAATGCTCATCCCTGATTAGGACACCTATTTCAAACTTCTGCCTACGGTGGAAAGACTGTAAGAGTCAGAGGTGGTGGATGACCACAAGGAAACAGAGTTTTCCAGGCAGATGGCCAGTTACATCTATGAACTCACAGCAATGGTGACAGCATGCACAAGTCCTATGCAAGCTCAAACCAGACAAAATCCCAACAGAGACATGGGGAAGTTGGTAAGAAATCAGAACCCAACCTAAGGAACTTTTCACAACTGCTGTCTACTAAGAGGGAGAAATGCAATCTTTTATAGGAATGGGACTTTGGGTGTGTTAACCTGGCTTCAGTGGGTGCGTCCATGTGGAATACATTGAATTCAGTGGGCGTGACAGTGGTGGGAGGTGTATACAGGGAAGGGGATCTAAATACCATCAAATCACATTGTACGAAAATCACAAAAATTCAATAATAAATTTTAAAAATAGGAAGAGAAGCAATAACCTTCAATCCACCAGGGCTGTTGTCATGGTTTAGATGTGACAGATCCCTTAAAATGTCTCATGTGTTGAAGATTTGATCCCTAGCTGGTGGTGCTATTGGGGATGATGGAACATGAGGGCATTGACAGCATCCATATATTAATCCACTGATAACTTCATTGCTCAAGGGGCTACTAGGTGATGGGCCAATTTGGAGGAAGTAGGTCATTGGTGATGAACTTAAAGAGTATTTCTTGTTCCACCTCTCCCTCTCCTTTGCTCCCTGTCTTCTATGAGGTGACTGGCCTACTCTCCCACATGCCCCCACCACCATGATGGTCCATTTTATTTTAGACCAAAATGATGGAGCCAGCCACCGAGGGGCTGTACCCTCTGATGTCATGAACCACACACTGTCCTTCTTTTAAACAGTCTTCTCAGACATTTTGTCATAGCAACTTAATATGACCAATATAAACACATCATTCCATTTTATCTTCTGTTGTCCAAAAACTATATGACAAAAATTAAAATGAAATGAAAAAATTATGCTTGGGTGTTGTGAGAGACAGGCTTGAGCCTAGGGTGATATTGCAACTGTCAGGGTCACATGGTTTCCAGGAATCCAGGCTCTATAATCTGAAACCCAGTATGCTAATGAGGCATCCTACCCTCTATTCTGTGATACAACATTAAGCCTGTTATGCTAATAGGATGATGCTAATAAGATGTCCTACTTGCTGTACTGTGATAAGATGCTAAACCTGTTATGCTAATAAGGTATCCTACTTGCTGTGCTGTGATTGGACCACCACCCCTATAAAAGCTTGTGCTTTCCTGCAATAAAGCAGACCTGTGTCATTGAACCTGGTCTCCTGTGTGTGAATGTGGCTCCGCTGACACAGTCTCCTCACAAGCCCTGGGGTCCGGGACCGGGCAGAAGCAGCAACGACAGGAGGCAGCACAGGGCAAACAAAAGAGCCTTCTCAGCACCAGGTGAGCAGAAGAGCGATCTCAGCCCAGGGCGAGCGGAGGAACAGCCTCGACACCCATGAGAACAAAGGAGCGGCACCCACAAGAATGGAGGAGCGGCCGCCGCTGGCAGTGACCACAGGGTGTTACAGGTACTTATCAAAAAATAAAATATTATTTTGATAAGTACCTGTATATATATATATATATATATACACATGCACACAGACACACGCACACAGACACAGTCACTGTTTCTTGGTTCTAATGATTAAACCAGACTAATAGGTTCTCCTGAAAGGAAAATTGATATATCTTTGAGGAATCAATTTAATGTCACCAAAAACTTGTTTTCAGTACTCTAATAATGGGCATAAAGTTCATCCAGTATGAAACAATTTATTTAAATATGACCATAACATGTTGCATTTAGAGCCTCAGAAAGTTGTTCACACATAGTTCACTGCCTCCTCTTTATCCCAGATACAGATGTAATTTATGTAGAAATAGGCATTAACATAAGCCACTCAGCAAGGACATGCTTTCATTTGCATAATGTTCTTTGAGAGGAAAGTAGTAAATCGATTTCAACCTGTTTGGGCCTGCATCCAAGTAATGTACAGACCTGTTTGAGGAGAACCAATTTTGAAATTTGTAAAAGAGGTCATATGAAATGCATTATTCAATTAAGTAAAGTTATTTATACTTTATTATAGAATACTGTACCATCTTCTGGATGAATATAACTAATTAAATTTCACTTGGTATGTGATTTTTAGCAAAATTAGAAAATGAAAATTCTATAAGGAATTCTTCAACAGCACCTAAAATGACAGCAGCCCGGTGGGAACGACTGCACCCAGCAAGCTGGGCAGCTATCCTCAGACTTTCCTCTCCAGCTGTGGCTGTGCAATGTCTGCATCGCAGCAGCAAAGCATCCCTGATATACTCTCCAGTCCCAAGGGGTCGTCACTAAGCACCGACGCACTAACAACCCTAAATGAGCTCAGTAGATTGCACACACACACATACACACACACACACACACACACACACACACACAAGAAGTGCTCATAAAGCTGAAAAAGAGTGGAGGGGGCATGGGAAGAGTTGGAGGGGAGAGGGGTGGAAATGATATAAATACAGTGCTTAGCCATGATACTCTCAACAAATTAAAAAAAAATTTTAAAGACACACCCTTAATCTCAGAATTCAGAAAGCAGAGGCAGATGGGTCTCTCTAAGTTTGAGGCCAGCCTGGTCTACGTAGTAAGTTTCAGCCAACCTGGACTGCATAGTGAGACCCTGTCTCAATAAAAACATGAAATGAAAGTTTAAAACCAGCAGTCTTACTAAGGACTCAGATCAC